GGGTGCTTTCTTCTCACAAAATGTGCTGTGAGCTCCCAGAAAGAGAAAAGCACTTCCCAGCTGCTGGGGCCAACGTTATCAGGGAAGCTTCCCGCCTTTCTGCAGGAAATGCAGAAACGGTCCCAGGACCATCCCTGGTTTTAGAAACATGCGCTACCAAGAGCCAGTTTCGCACCCTTGTATTTTCATGTGTGAATACGTTATTTTTCATGACATGACAATTCTATCATTCCATCGCATCATCGCTGCACCCCACCCCCCTGAATAAATGAGCCACAACGAACGGTTAGCCTGCTCTGACCACTGAGGTCATTTCTGATTTTCCAAAATTCAAACATTGATCTGTTTTGGGCACCACTCACGATTTTGAAGCTGATTGCCTGTCACTGTAATTGTTGGATGAAAGAGAAGATGCCCCTGAAGACTTGGATGCGTGTTGCCAGCGGTGCCTGGACCGCACCCCCGTCTCCCCTGCTCCCCTGTATCTATGCTCCAGCAGCCTTGCCCCTGGCCAACGCTGAGCTCTATCACCTTTTAAATTTGCTCCAAGGCCTTAATAGCGATGCTTCAGCGTCGAGCTGACTGAACTGCTGGGAGGCTGAGCGCGTCTCCCCGTTCATCGCCTCTTGTGGTTCTCCGTCTATCCTAATGAGAGGCTTTTCTAGCCCAACTTTCTGTTTTTCAGAGAACCTAAGTGTTCCTCCCTTGAGGAGGCCAGTCTTTGGCAAGAAGCAATAATCAGTCCTTGGCTAGGCGGCTGGGCCTTCCCCAGCAAACACTGCTTCAGTCCAAAGGACCTGGCCGGGGTTAAACACAGAACTATTCCATCTCAGGATGGTGCGTATCAAGGGAACAGATCTGAGGAGACTTTAGAAGGAAGGGAGAGTAGAGAGAGCCCTCTGGAATCTGCCAGTGGTCGGAGAAACTATCCAAAGAAAGAGAACGTGGGGCCTCAGCACAACAGGTTAAAGCGCAGCATGGGGAAGCTGTCTGCGGCCACTCCAGCACGAGTTCGAGCCCCGGCCAGGGAGGTGCCCACAGGGCGCGGCATACTCTCCTCTCCCCACTGCTCCACCTCTGGCCTACAGCCCAGCTCTTGTATGAATGAATAAATAAATCTAATAAATCTCTAAAAAATAAAAAAAAGGAAAGTGAGTGAAATGAACACATCCCCACCCTCAAGCCCTCACCCCAGCTCCATCACCCCAACTCCATCACCTTCAAACTGCATCATCCCCCAACACCACCATCTCCCACCTCCATCACTCCCTGACTCCATGACCCCCAACTCCATGCACCCAATTCCTCCACTCCCCAACTTTTCAGCCCCAGCTCTTAAAGGTTTTCCAGGTGGGTGCGGCCGAGTCAGGGAAGCTGACCCAAGGGGGGGAGAATCAGGGGGCCCCTCGGCCAGGTGACCCGCAGACCCGCTGGCAACATGGGAGCCTGCCCGACACCTGGGTCTGATCAGGTTCCCGGAGCCCCACGTGACCCGCCAAGGCCCCTCACGTCTGGGAATCGCAGCCTCCCGTTTGTTAAATGGGGTGACCGCGTGCACCTGCAGGCTGACAGGGGAGGAGAGGTGAAGCACCCCGCTCAGCAGAGAGCAGAGTAGGGCTTCGAGAGAGGATTTAACCTAGCAATTCCGTAAGTAGTTATGGAGTTTATTTTGGTGCCAGGCGCTGCTCTGGGCACTGGGAAATTACCCCAGATAATAAACACCAGATAAGCCAATCACAGCTGCCTGATAAGCACAATAAGCACTTGGTGGGAGTGCACGGGCAGAGGGCAGACCTCCCGAAGGTGACCTTGGGGCAGAGACCTGAGGGATGGGCCCAGGGCAACGCCCAGCGAGCCAGTGCTTGCGGGCTGCAGGGCGGGGTGGGGGTGAGGCTGCCCCAGCCTGCGCCAGGGCCCTGTGGCCATGTCGAGGGGCTAAACCCACGGTCCTCACCGTGAGGGTGTCCAGGCAGACACTGAGGGAACCTGGTGTCCCGTCCCAGGGATCCTGGGCAGCGCTGGGAGAGAGCCAAGGGTGGGCTGTGGGGAAGGCTGAACCTCACCCCCACCCCCGCCCCAGGGCAGCCTTCTGAAGGACCCTGCAGCTGGATTGCTGGGTCCTTGCATCTGGGAGAGGCAACCTCTGGGTAAACCTTGGAAAAGCCTCCCAAACGCCACACCTTGATTCTCTCTGTATCTTGCCCATCACAGGGTTCAACCCCGGGAGAGAATGTTCTGGAGCAGCCCTTGACCTACCCTCCCTCGCCCTCAGTGTTTCCACCTTTACGAAGCCTTTTCTGGTATGTGCAGCACCTCTGACTGTCTGCTCAATGTGCCTGGGGCCACCCCAGACCTTCAGCCACTGCCTCCTGTGAGAAACGGGCCCCCAAGAAGGTGGGGGTGGCCCTGGCGGCCCGGCTAGGCCACTGCCCACTGCGTCAGGGCAGTGGCTGCTTTGTGGGACGTTTCCCTTGGCCCCAGCCCCTACAGGGCCGTGTCACCCACATTTGCCCTTGAGAACGGAGCCTGACCGTGGCCAGTCTGGGAGTACAGGCCTGCTTGAGAACTGAACAAAAACGTGGGTCTTCCCAGCAAGGAGCACAGAGGCAAGGACGCCTGTTGGCTGCTGTCCAGAGAGCGAGAGCTGCCCTGTCCTCACTTTCAGGGGTCCAGACCAGGGCTGTCCCCAAGGAACAGCATGTGAGCCAAACACAGAATCTAAAATTGTCCAGTGGCCATATTTAAGTCAGACAAAACTGGGCCTCCCTGGTGGCCTAGGGGTTAAGTATCAGCGCCGTCAACAATATGGTCTGAGTTCGCTTCCTGGCCAGGGAGAGACCACAGGACGCAGCAGAACCTCCTGTCTCCCCGCCGCTCCCTCAGCAGTGGGTCCGCCTGTTCTGCTCCCCACTCTGCTGAGTACGCTCACCCCTGCACCTCTGGCCTACACCCAAGCTCTTGTGTGCATAAGCAAATTGATCTTTTTTAAAAATCAGACAAAATTAACTCTATCAGACAGTACAATCTTAGATTATTAAAGAATCTTTAGGACCATCTCTGGTGGCACAAAAGGTTAAAGCGCAGCACCATGAAGTTCACCACAGACACTTCGCTGCAAGTTCAATCCCTACCACGGAGGTGACCACACGGCGCGGCAGACCTCTCCTGACCCTGACCCGCCTGCGGCTCCCCTCAGCAGTGGATTTCATTGATCTGCCTGTTCTGCTCCCCACTCTGTCTCTGGTGAATCCTCTCACCACCCCTGCACCTCTGGCCTGTACCCCAGTTCCGTATGCACAAATCAATAAATAAATCTTTAAAAAATATACCCCTGGTGGCGCAGCGGGTTAAAGCACAGCACTGAGAATCTAAAGCCGCTTCCGCATGAGTTCGATTCCCGCCTGCCCCAGAGGTGACCACAGGGCGCGGCAGACCTCTCCTGACCCGCCTGTTGCTCCCCTCAGCAGTGGATTTCATTGATCTGCCTGTTCTGCTCCCCACTCTGTCTCTGGTGAAGCCTCTCGCCGCCCCTGAGCCTCTGGCCTGTACCCCAGTTCTGTATGCACAAATAAATAAATCTTAGGAAAAAAAATATATTTAAAAAAAAAAAAAAGACTCTTTAGCAAATGGCCTGCTCTACCCAAGTTTGAAACAGCCAGGGCTCAACCAGTTTCCCAACTTCCCTGTATTGTGACTCTCCCAGGGCTCTAGTTAAATTTCAGATTCTGACGCCACAGGGCTGGGTGGGGCCAGAGCCACAGACTTTCTGACAAGCTCCCAGGTAATGCCCAGGCTGCTGGGCCCATATCCTGGGTGGGAACCTGCAGTGGGACCCCCTGCAGGAGCCAGCAAAAGGGGCGCAGGCAGGCAGACCAAGTCAGGTATCCCTTGTCCTCCAAAGCACATGTCTGACCTGCTTCTGACATGAGTTCTGGATGGTCAGTGGATATTCATGTCAAGGGACGGACCCCTCATCGTTTTCCATAAAACACAACCACCCAAAGCACAGAGAGGGTCAGCAACTTGCTGAACATGAACAAAGCAGCTGGTTTCTAGAAGCTGGGTCCTTGTTCACTACATGTACTGCATGGGATGTGGACATTCATTTGATCCAGATCAACCCCATCACATCAAAAGAATAACGCTGCTGCCCACGGCCTTGTCGGTGACTCTGAACTTCAGTCATTGTGCTTGTCTAATTCACAGAATTAGTTAGAAATTCTAATTGAAACATCATACCTCCCCCCATCCAATCGCTATTGCACACCATCTATCATAATTTAGGCAGAGTAGGCATTCATTTAATGTTATTGAGTAAATAAGTAAATAAAAAGACCTGCCTATAAACACACTATGCTTAAAACATCATAAAGCAATCTTGAAAAAGAAGAGCAAAGTTGAAGGACTTAAATTATCTGATTTCAAGACTTCTACAAAGCTACAATAATCAAAACAGTGTGGTCTTGGTATAAGGATAGACTGAACAGCAGGGCAGAACCATGCACCCAGAAAAAGACCCCATCATTGAGCTGAAACCACTTGATTGAAAATCATTTGGTTTCCCAGAAAGACACCAAAGTTAATGGAAAATGATATTGTATCATTTTGGTATCCATATGGAAAAAACTGAACTCTAGCTACTACTTTATACCACTGCCCCCAAAATTAATGAGCTGGAACATACACCCGCACATAAAAGCTAAACTTTTATACAGCTTCTGAAGAAGAAACAGACAACTACTTTCATGACTTATGAGTAGAACTCAGAAATAACCCTAAAAGGAAATGCCAACATTAAAAATTTCTCATCAAAGACACCATTATTTTATAGTTAATTACTATTACTGTTGTATACAATCATTCATGGTGTGTATGACAGAGACCACCATCAAAATGCAGGCAGCTCCCCCAATTTCCAGTCTATGCATCCTTATCTACCCACCCAATCCGACGTACGATACCAACCGCACATGAATGTCAAAGCACTAGGTGAGACTCACATGTCTCAGGCCTCCTGAGAATAAAGCGTTGGGCACTGGGCTGGATGACAGATCCTCTGGCTTCAAAACAGGGCTAGTAGAGCGTTTGGGGCTGCCTGGATTGACAGGCTGCAGAACAGCAGGTACACTCACCTTCTGGAAAGGAAACACAGAGTTAATAATGTAGTCTACATCCTAATTTGACTGTGTCCAAGGATGGTGATCACACAAGCAGGGCCTGCATCTCTGTGTGGCCTGGTGGCACGAATGTGCAGGCTGAGTAAGAGGGCACAGTCCTTTCGGATGAGTGCACACACACGCGCACATACACACACACTTGTGAGATCCCGAGGCAGACACCATCAGACTTCATTATATTTTATAAACAGTGATGGAGGGGGGTTTCTTACAGATTAGTAAAATCTTATTAAAGAAACTGAAGTCTACATTTTGGGTTTAATAGTGATGCTGGCATTTCATCATATAAAATATACTATTAGCCCAGTGGGCAGTGTTTTGGTTCTAAAACTAATAATAGTTCTAAAACATATAAGAGAAGGAATAAAATCAAAATACGTGCCTAAATTTTATCCAAATTCTGTTACTAGTTGGTGCTTCTCCAGAGCTTGCAACTGTACTTCCAAATGTGGCCATTTAAATTTAACTGCAATTTATTAAAAACAAATATCGCTACCTCCAAGTGTTGAGGAGCTTATGTGTGGCAGTAGCTAGAAAGTTCTACTGGCAGATGCTATTCTAGAGGGATACACACAATGAGAACATTTCTTTCTGGCTAATAACACAAAGTTTGAAAATCAAAACTTGAGGTTTTGATATTGGGTTCACAGTAGAATTTGGAAACTCAAGAGTGGTCCTCTCGTCCTGACTTCCAGCACAAAACCCCAAGAATATTAGAGGAAAGTGAAAGAACAGGTGACGTCTAGTTTATCTTACGTGCGCGTCCTAGACCACCAGCTCCCTACACTCACTGGGAAGATGCGTGGAAAGGGGACAGTGGTGTGGGAGCAGGGAGAGGGCAGTGAGACTCTGGAGAGGCCACCGAGCAGGAGACAGACGCTCCATCAGAGATGGACCGTGTCAGAGAGCAGCAGAACAGCCCGGCGGGCGGAGGGTCTGGGGTCTTCAGCGGGAGCTGAGTGGGTGAGCGGGGGGCTGGGCAGAGACGGGGTTGAGCAGCAATGCTCAGTCCTCAACAATCCTGACCCCAAAGGGCGAGGCCCGGAGGGTGCTCCCGAGCTGGCTGTGAGCCACAGAGCCTCAAGTGACCAGGCAGCGACCCGGGTGGGCCCAGAGGAGGAGATAGAGGACTGGAAGGACCAGGGGGAGGAGGACTCAGGCACAGAGCGTGCTGCGAAAGGAGCCAGCCCCCCGCTATCTGAAACGAGAGCCTGTCCACGCTGCAGAATGCAATACCAAGCAGAAGGTTCAGGGCCACGGGAGGGCGGTGAAGGGCCACTCAGCCTCCCAGCGGAGTGAACTACTGCCCCCCCAGGCCAGTCAGTGTGAGGTCACGCACGTGTTTCTCAGACCTTGCGTGAGAAAGTAACGTTGACATCTGATTGACAGACACAAGCGTATCGCAAATGATTAGCCAGGATGGCCGCAGAGCGACGCACAGGAGGTCCCGCCTCTCTCGTGTGAAGAGGCGGGCTGGATCTTTAAACGCTGCCAAGTTGTAGGTATTTTTAGGGTGCCAGCGATTGGGGCCTACTTGGAGGCTGAAGGGGGACGGCTGGGGCGGAGGCAACATGGCCTGTGGATCGGAACAAAACCCACGGCGGAATGTTCTGCAGAGGAAGAGATGGAGCTTTATCGCGGTCACGTGGCTTGACCAGCTATGACAGGGGGAGACTGCAGTTTCGAATAATTCAGGATGCTGGCAAAGTGTGAACAAGCTTCATGAAAATATGAATACTTAGTAGAAGTCGACACCATGCGGAAGAACATGCCTACTTTAGGGGGCTGACCCCTGTTCCAAGCTTTGTGTTCCGCTCTTCCCCTAAGGAGGACTCGGCCTCGGTGTCCGTTCCTGGACATCAGGGTCCCACAGCCTGACATCACCAAGATGTGCCATGTGCCCTGTGTTCCTGCACTGGCTTGGGCCAGACGGCGGAGAGCAAGCACTGCCCAAGTGAGGCCTCTCCGCAGGGTCGCCAGCACGTTGACCGGCCAAGATGGCCGCCAGTCCCTATGTGGTCAACATGGCCCCACAGCTGACCTGTGGCCCCAACACTGTGCCTTGGTCTCAGATAACAAAAAGAAGGTGGGAGATGAGAGGCTGGGTGCCCCCGAGGCTGCCTGTCACACTTGGGTATCAGAGAAAGATTCGGGGGGCTTGGCCAGTCAGCCCGCCCTGAGCAGATTCAGTTCCAGCTGAAACTAGAGGCCGCTCCAGCTTCCTGGAAAGATTAGCTGCCCTCAACCTTAGTGCTGTGACAACTGACCCCAGCACGCTGCCTGCCCTGCACTCAGCCTCTGAGGTGCGACCGACGGGTGGAGAGAGGAGCTACAATGGACAGCCAGGCCCCGGCCTCACGTCGCTCGCTGGGCAAACGTCACAGGCTGCCAATGACAAAGGTTCCCTCCTGCCCTGGCCTCAGGTCCTGGCTCAGATCGAGCCCTTCCCAGAGCTTCCTCTGGTTCCTTCCTGCTTAGCAGGTGTGTTGTGTGTGTGTTGACGGTTAACATAGATTAGCCACGCATCCATAAACAGTACAGCAGAGCTCTGGGGAAGGCACAGGAAATGTCAAAGATAAGAATTCTCTGGAAGAATCTGGCCCCAACGCCCAAAGCGAGGGTCTCCGCCTGGGCAGCTTTAGAGGCCGCAGCCCAGGTCTGGCGGTGGGGGACGGGGCAGGCAGCACCTCCAGCGGTGTCCCGGCCGGCCGGCCTCCTGGGTGGGCCTCTGGCCTAAGGGGGGGCCCGCCTCTGTTGTGCTGGGTCGCCGCCGCGGCGGGAGACCCGGGGCCTGCAGCGGGGCTCCCGGAGTGCCCCTCCCTGCTCTCCCACGCCCGCCCTGGGTTCGCCCCCTGGCACACAGCAGGGCAGCCGCACCACTGGGCATCAGGGAGGTTGCCCGGGGTGTCATGGGGGCCCTGGGGACCCCAGGGAAGGACATGGTACGGTTCAGAGGGTCAGGGACCGTCCAAGCATGTGCCACACGCCCTGGACGCCTGGACCCTGAGTGTGGCTGAGGGCCGGCGCCTCTGCACCCCCTGCTCACGCAGGAGCCCGCGGCATCTCACAGCCCAAGTCACACATGCAGATTCTGCATTCTGACCCCTCCCCCCCAGCTCCCAGGACACACGGTGAGGTGGAGACTCCAGGCTCCAGGCTCGGCTCCAAACCACTTTCCCGTTAGACATCAGGGCACTGACTTGATCTCCCTCAGCCTCAGTTTCCCTACCCGAGGAACAGGCCGAGCGCACTCCCGAGCTCACAGGCATGAGGACACAGGAGATGCTCCAGGTCAAGCTCCTGGTACACTGCCTGGTGCGTCGCAGAGACGCAGGCAATTACGATGCTCTACTCAGAAAGTCTAATGGGGGCGGGGGTGTTTACAAGAACCCTGAGAGGCCAGGTTACGTCCTCATTTCATGGGGCACGATGGGGTGCTTCCTGCGTAATTCATCCCCCACCCAAGACGAGCCCTAGCTGGGGGGTAGTGGGCAGAGGCAGGATTTGAAATCCTGAGAGCGAGTGTGGACATCCCAGCAGCAGGCCCTGAGCGGGGCCCACAGTTGCAGAGGCACGTGCTCCAGCCCGGCCGTCACAAGGACGGTCAGCAGCCAGGCAAGGCCCCTGCGGCCAGGTCGTCAGTGGCCTGGGAGCCAGGTTCTCTGGTTCCAAGTCCGGGTTCTCTCACCCCCGCCCAGCTCTGCAGGTTTGCTTCACCCTGGTGCAAAGCCAAAGTAGCCCCTGAACACCTTCGCTAGGGGAGCTCTAGACACCTGGAGTCTCCCTCGGGATTTGGGGGGTCATGCAGCACTTCAGCTTTCGGGGCTTGTCAGAGACCAGGACACACGGCAGCCAGAGCCTGTGGGCGTGGAAGGCAGGATGGGCCCCAGCAGAGCGGCCCAGATGAGTCTCCCCAGACCCAGGCTAAGAGCAGGCCCGTGTGGCCTTTGGCCTTGGGTGCGACCTTGAAGCTATCAGGGCGCTCAGGGGGACACACAGAAGGCCTGGGGCCTCGAAGCAGGCACCTGTCTCTGTTCCTAGCCTTTTCCAGATCAATCTTAAATTCTGACTTTCCTTGGCAGGGCCTCCCAGCACTGGGGTTATCGTTAGGCTTTTCAGGCTGCTTTGTCTTTTGCTATAAAAGGGAAGTAAATCTACAGAGAAGCCGGCTACAGGCGCTGTGGGCGCCTCGGTGATACCCGGGAGGAGACGTTGACCGCCGTGTCCGACTGGCTCCGTCTGTCCGTCCGGTCCGCTCCCCGCCCGGAGCCCGCAGCCTGGAGCTGCTTGTCGGAGGTCATGTCATTCTGGGACTTGGAGAGTTCTGGAAAACAAATGCAATGATGGCAAGTGGGAACACACGGCTCCAGGGTGCAGCCCTGAGGCTGTCAGGCCATGGCCAGCAGACGCGGCCGCCCGGTGGTGGTGGTCAGACACATGGACGGGCATCCACTTACTTTTCATGTGGGTGGTAACACACAGAAACAAATTTTCCATGGACTTATTAAATCCTTTAAACTGACCGAGTTCCTGTAACTAAAACAGAGACAGAAGGTGAGGGAATGAGAATTAGGTTCGAAGACCTGCGTCTGTCCCAGGCTGGCAACCCTGAACACTGGCCTGTGAGTGCAGGTGGGGCTGGGAGGCCTGGGTGCCAGGGTGCCGGGGAGCTGCGGGGTGTGTGCGGGCGTGTCTGGAGGGCAGAGAACACTCTCCAGAGGCAGGGATCCTCCTGACTCGGCATTTCTCCTCCAGTTGTTAAAGCAAGGGCCATCAGCCATGGTGTTGACAAGGTACCAACCACCTCCTACAAGTAATAACTGATGTTTCGTTGGCCCAAGAATCGTACACAAGTAAATGACTGCTTTTATAACCTCTCTCTCATGACCTCCAACTCCACACCGAGGAGGCAGCAACACAAGCAGACACGTGACCCAGCAGCTGCGGCCATGACCAGCTGGAAGCGAGGGGTTAATTCCATCTCCCAGAGCAGAGGAGTAAACGGAACAGGAGACAGCAGAAAAGAGCTCACTTCCCTCTGCAAGGCTCATCCATCCATCCATCCACCCAACCACCCCCATGTCCATCCCAACCACCCCCATGTCCATCCCAACCACCCCCATGTCCATCCCAAACACCCCCATGTCCATCCCAACCACCCCCATGTCCATCCCAAATACCCCCATGTCCATCCCAACCACCCCCATGTCCATCCCAACTACCCCCATGTCCATCCCAAATACCCCCATGTCCATCCCAACCACCCCCATGTCCATTCCAAACACCCCCATGTCCATCCCAACCACCCCCATGTCCATCCACCCACCCAGTTGTGCACCATCTAGCACCTACCCATCATCCATCCATCCACCGTTCCTCCAGCCACCCACCCATCCATCTAAATATTCCTTCAACAATAAATATGTCTGGAGAACCTCAGTGCTGAATTAACTTCGGAGAATTAAAAGCTCCAAAGTAGTGCTGGGTTTTGAAGGTCACCCTTGGGTGTCCACTTGAGGTTGGTAAGGGGATGTATATACTTCCTGTCTCTCACTAGCACATCCTCTAATACACAGATACAGTTACTTCCTACAGTTCACAGAATAATAGCAAAAAGAGCCAAGGTCATACGTTTCCTTGACATTGCCGTTTCCAAGCACAGACATTACTCCATTCACTCCTCGCAGCGCCCAGGGGTGGCAGCCAGAGTAGTTATTGCCACCTCCCACGGCCCAGCTCTTCATCCAGTCACGTGCCCCCCATCAGCACCGACGGCAGCCAAAGCACGCACACACCCCCACAGGCACCCGAGCACCTTGAGAGTCAGCCCGTGAGCCCCCGACGACCCGCAGCCCACCCGCCCCACCCGCCCCACTCAGGAGCGCGGCGAGCCCAGGGGAGAGGACGCGGTGCGGCGAGTGGGTCGGGGCTGCAGACGCCGGGGCCCCTGGCGACCACTTGGGGGAAGCCCGGGTCCTCCCCCTGCTGGGAGGCCCTTCGTTCCCCGCTTCTGTCCTGCCCCTGGCCCCCAGAGGCGCGGGGCCGCCGCCTTACCCTGCTGCCCGGGCAGCCGCTGCACTGGCTCTCGCTGAGTGGCGGCGGGGTAGGAGGCACCACCGAAATGCTGCTGCTGAGGGAAAACACGGGAGTGAGCGGCCGGCTGTGACCCCCAAGCGCGGCCAGCCCCAGCGCCGGACTCGTCGTGGCTGACCATGCACGCACTGGGCCCGTCCCCCAGCCTCCTCGGTTTTCAGATGGGGCCCGCGGCCTTGGCCGCGCTCGGCCTCCGAGGGCATCGCCGTCTGGCCTGGGGCTGTGGGCAGCGAGCACCGTGCTCTCTACGTCTGGGCACCGCTTCCCTCCACGTGTGCCTGCCGGAACGGCTCACAGCACGCAGCTGTGTGCCCGGCTGCTCTGAAGGGCTCGCGGCCTCGTGTGGGCTCGTGTGTTCTCTCAGTTGGAAACACACACGGAAGAGCCAGAAACTGGGGGACGCGGGCAGCTGCCGCGGCCCAGCAGGGCCTGGCCCAGACAGACACGGAGACGTGCGCCCGTGCCCACAGCCCCGTCAGGGACACAGCCTGCGTGTCCAGTCCCGGAGCTGACAAGGACGGCGTGGTCTGCAGGAGAGTGGGCTGGGCGTGGGCTAGGAGCCATGAGAAGAGAGATGGAGCTTTGCGGCTGCAGAGCAGGGATGCGGCTGAGGCGTGGTGCTAAGCAGGAGAGGAGTGACCCGATTCCAGACGTTTCACGCATGCGGAGTGCAGCACTGGAGTTACGGGAGCGGGAGGGTGCAAGGGGGGCCTGGGCCGGGGCCCTGCAGAGGGAGAGGATTCTGGGGGCTTCTGGTGGTGGGTGTGGTGTCACGACACACATCTGCAGAGATGTGAACCTGCACCATGTCAACGTTACCGCTACAAACATTAAAACAAAATCCCACCATGCAAGGAAGTAGAAGCTTGGCTAAAAGAAGTGGGGGGAAAGCGGGGGAGTAAAAAAAATGAAAAAGTTCCGAGATTGGAAAATCTCATCATGGGCCAAAAAAATTGCTACCAGTGAGGAACTTTCAGTGATACTTTAATAAACTCAGTGTCATCAGGTGCAGGATCACCAGCAGCTTCAAGGATACAGGTGTCTTGAGTTAAGTGTAAAAAAGCTACGTCACTCCGGAAGCTGTTCGGCAACACCTGAGTTTCTTCCACAAAAGTCCCTGAGGCCTGTCAGGCACAGGGCAAGTTGCTGGTCACGGGAATGACCCACGAGAGCAAATTCTTGGTCTAGAATTTCATTCAATGTGCCCGCAACAAAAAAATACTATTGCGTTTCAACAAGCCAGGAGAGCCTCAGAAACAAAAGATGTTGAGTGAGAAGGTACCAGGCGGTTCCTCTAAGAATCAGAAAGTGTCTCGGAATATTATTTTTATCACTAAAGAAAAAAAAAAGGTTGCATTCCAAAACACTGACATCTAGAATTCCGGACTTCTATAAGTTCTTTCCCAGCATCCTCCGGCTCCAGCGTGGGGGGCCTGGAACAGCTTGTCCTTTACATCACTCACCTGAGTTTCTGATAAGATTTCAAGAGCTTTGCCCCAGCTGTCTCGTGTTCGCCTGCAAAAGGTGTCAAGAAAGGTCATTTATTCGTAAGTCTGTAACTGAGATGACGCAAATACAGGAAGTGAGAAAGTAAAACGACCATCATTCTAACATCACTTCTTTTTTATTCTTTAAAAAAAAAAATACCTGACTTAAAAAAAGGATTTATTTATTATTTATGCACACAGAACTGGGGTGCAGGCCAGAGGTGCAGGGGCGGTGAGAGGCTTCACCAGAGCCAGAGCGGGGAGCAGAACAGGCTGACTGACGAAGGACACTGCTGAGGGGAGCAGCGGGCAGGTCAGGGGAGGTCTGCAGCGCCCTGTGGGTCACGGGCCGGGGAGCAAACTCGCACTGAAGCAGCTGCGGCCGGCTTGCAGAGCGGTATCCTAACCTGTTGCACCACCAGGGAGGCCTGACATCACTTTTTGTGGTCTAAAATGAACACAGCATGTCGGGGTGACAGACATGCCCTGAAACCAGACGGTGGTGATGGAGGCACCCCGATGTACTAAAGACGACGGTCTTTCTTTGAATGCAATCGCACATTTAGAGGAGGTAGATTTTCTGTTCTATGTGTTACATTCCACTAACGCTGATGCTAAATGCTCACGCGAAGTAAGATCATAGTTACTGGGAACCAGAGCTTTCATTAAAAGTTGACGTGGGTTTTTCTGAAGCTGGATCATTTGAAAAATAAGCTTAACAGCCATTTGTTGTATGGAAACATTTCATGATTAAAAATGATGATTTCTTTAAATGCTCCTTGTTATGGGGGATTAAACTAATCTTTTGAAAAATGTAATCTACTTATTTCTAGTTACAGAGGCTAATAATTTCCTAAAGAAGACCGCATGCAACATAATACTCTTTTTGTCTCAAGGAAAGGGGATCTGAGGATGTCTTAAGACCCCGAATAACACTCTACCTGCCCAGAGCTCTGCAGACACCATGTTTCCTGGCCCCAGGTCTGGCAGGGGTCTGGTGGCCAGGGACAGAGGCAGACTGCTGACCGCTGCCGGACACACACTGCCACCCCAGACCTGAGTTGGGGGGCAGGGCACTTTCTGCCGTGAGTGTTCGGAAGGCCCAGCTCACTTCCTACAGAGACGCCTGTGTTCGCATCACCTCCAGAGACAGGGCAGCGGCGAGCTGAGAGGAACGAGACTGTGGAGGCCTGGGGGGACCCCTCGTGAGGCCGGGGTACCAGGTTGGCGGGGCAGCCGCTGGCCTGAGCTGGGCTGGGGGTGGGGAGTCCTCAGGGAGCGCCTGGGTCCCGAAATCCTGTCTCAGATTTGGAGGTGCCCCTGTGCGTTTTTCTGGGGTTTGGGGGTTCAGATGCTGCTCAGTTCTGAAGGGAGCCTGTCACCCCTCCTGCCTCGCGAAGAAACACTTCTCTTGCTCTCAGGGCTGAGCAAAATGGCCTCGCCGAGACAGAGAACTAAGCTTGAGGAACCAGCTTCTAAAGGTGAAATCCCTCATCGGCAGGGCCCCCCCCACCCCCGCACAGCAGGGCACCCAAGGGCTGCGGTCAGGGTGAGAGCTGGGATCTAGTGCCGCTTGCCTGGGCGGGTCCTGCGGGGCAGGTGCTGACATGGGGCCCCCACCCTGTGCCCCTGCTGCTTTGCAGCCCTAGTCACCGGGCCCTGGATTGCTGAGCACAGCCCCCCACAGTCCCCCAAGGCCACGCTGTCATCCCACTGCCTCCTGTCCTGTCCTTCAGTGAGCCCACTGCTTCCACCTCAAGTCCAAGCCCTGCTGGCCCACCGGCAGCCCTGTCCTTCCCAAACGCCCCCCACCTCCCCCAGCAACATTTACCCCACCGGCCCTCCCACCTCCCCTCCTCACACTCAGGGCCTCAGGGCCTCAGGGCGCTGGATTCCCACCTGGGCCCATCTGGGTCCTAAACTTCAGAGGCCTGGTCCCTTCTCCAGGCAGCCCGAGGGCCCGGTGCACGGTTCTCTGCTGACCCCTGCTGGCCAGCGCTGCGCGGCCTGTCCCCCACGGTGGTCACACCCTGGCTGGCCCTGGCCCCTGCAGCAAACGTCACTCCCGTGCACAGCCCACCCGTGTCCCCAGGACGCAGCTCGGCCCTGCCAGCCACGGGGTCAGTATTACTGCAGAAGAGAGTCTGAGCCCCAGCACACCTGGCCGGCAGAGAGTTGAGTGTCTTGCGGTGTTAGGTCACAAATAAATATTCTTTTGACTTTTTTGACCCTTTAAGATATGTAAAACCCATTTAGAGGGGCAAAGAGGCAGAGGCACAGGTGTGGCCGTGGGCCTACGAGGACTGTCCTTGCTGACCAAGCCCTCCCGCGCCAGGCCGCAGGGCAGCGCCCCTGGGAAGCCGGGCCCTGGGCTCTGTAGCCCCATCTTCGTCTTCCTCGGGGCAAAGTGTCTTTCAAAAACACTGAATAGGGCCCTCCCTGGTGGCGCAGCGGGTTAAAGCACAGCACTGAGAAGCTTA